TCACTCTCAATCAACTTTTCAAGGTAAGTCGTTATCTACGAGGTGTCCCATGGACTTTTAATGAGGACATTTCAACGTCCACTGAAGGAATTTTAATTTTGACAGCATCAGGGAAAGTCAATCGTGTCACTGTCACGAATGGCTTGTGCATTAACTCTCATTTAGAACAAACTAATGCGATGAGGTTCAACCGTCCGCTTTCCCAGTGTGGAACTTACAGCATACTTGCACGACAGTAGGCAAGCCAGTAGAATTAAAAAGTAAGAAGTGGCAGTCGATTTACATCATACCATCACGGTCAAATAGTATCCACATATTGGTCAAGTGTTGTATGGCTACGGGCCCAGCAATGACGCCTACTCTTCGAAGCCAGAAGACTAGTCTTTCAACTGCTGGATCCGTATCTTGTTGATCTGCATTCACAACATGTCAGTGGAAAACGTGTACCCATGTCGGACAAGCAGAGACACTGAGCACGCATGTTTAGCTTCAGTCTGATCACCCGAATAGTGTGATTAGCTTGGCTAGCTGCGGCACTGTGGATCAGACTTGTACTTCACCTTGTCATTTCTAAAGCAATATAATGGTAAAACAGCCGCACACCATCTTCCAAAATGATCGAGACATTTGGACGTGTGGTTTAGTTAAGTTGATTCACCTGGTGTTGAGACAGAAGCACACACTCGAGGAGGTTTTGGTAGAACGTGGAACAACTGTGTTAGGTCAACGTTCAGTTACGTTCATTATCCAACCGCCTCAATCCATAGGGAAAGGTGATCTGTAACAAAATCGGTGCACTACGATTGATGATGAGTGTATCCATTGTCCCGTGCATGTGATGCGTGCACTCTTTGTTAGAATCGTTCAACTACCACAGCACTGGGAAGGGGGACGTGCGTACTCGCCCGGCATGTTGCTATGTTAATGCGCTAGAGTGCTACCCAGTTACCCACTAAAGCTGAATATATCAGTCATTTGTCTTCATCAGAAACAGCTCACAGAAGGCTGGTTCCAGCTGGACTTGTAGCAAGTAGTCAGTGACAAGTTATGAAAATTCATCATTGTTTGCCTGACTGACCCGAAATCATTCCGACAAGGAAGGAAGACACCGAATCTACGTGATCCATAGAGCTACACTGGAAGCTGTCCGTATGACATTGACAGAGTCTATCATACCAAGTTAATCGATGGATAGGCGTTAGGCTGACCGTTTTCTGGCCTTGCAGATTGAGGGTTGGAACATGTGAAACAACGAGTTCCTTAAAACTTGAAAACCGCCGGTCTGAAGTGAATCATCGCTGCCCTGCGGCTAGGCTTTCAAGCCACAGGCTTTGGTTCAGGATTCCAATAGTTCCCTGTGTAAAACTGCGAATCTCGTCAGATCATATCCATGAAGCGTACGGGTACTAATGGTCTCACGGTAAATCGGCCGTCACGTGCGGCAAACAAGATTCCCTTTACCAATAGACTTCTGCTGCGTTTCCGAATGTTACCAGCGCGGTGAATGAGTTTCAGACACCTTCGTTATCCAGATGTTAAAGCCTACAAACTTCAGATAGTTCTACATCTGTTGCAGGAAGTTACACTAATGTTGGTGTAGCTCTCAGCTTCGGAACTGAATGGACCTTTGCTCAACTGAATACCTGTAAATAACTATCTTCGCGCTGCTCGCTTGTCACTTTTCACAAGGACCCCCATTAACCGATATACTATTCATTCGGTAATTGCATTTTCTGCACACACACCGACCAACGGTAGCCCTAATTCGGCGAGGGATACTTTCTATCGGGAACGAACCCCTCTTCTACCCAACAAGAAAAGTTCATCTACTGCCCTAGTCGCCGACGATCTCAGTGAGCACGTAGGAGCCCTCAGTTCACCAGAGTCCGAATCTGGTGGACTGTTCAGCATGGACTCAAGGACTCATGACAATTACGGCGGTCGTTTTCCGCTTTGTACTAATCACCACTCGGTCGCTAGTACGACTGGGTTCATATGCAGCAGACGCCGTTGCAATGCCTAACGTCTCCCACTGATACACAACAATGGAACCACACTGGTCACATGACCATTGACACATGGTGACAAGGCTTTATACTTGATTGTCGGCTCACGTGGATTCCGCTCTCTTTATTATTTGGTGTACATTATCGATAAATTTCCCGGGGAGACTGGATCGTTTGGCTATACGAAAAATTTTGACTGACAAATTAAACAATCTTAGCAAGCTAATCTATGCGAAACTTTAAAGTCTGCATGCCTGACAGGCATCAGTCGTAACTGGGACGAGATATGCACTGCCATGCATACGGCAGGAACACAGCGTGTAGTGTTTCTGAAGGCCCAGTGAAATAAGCACTGGACTTCAAAACAGCCAGTGTGGCTCATCGATGCGAAACGTTGTATCCCTTCTGATGTCTAGCATAGTTCGGCCAGAACGACTCCTAACTGGCCACTCAAGTATAGTCTGCGTGCGGATAGAGAAAACTAGTGGAATAGAGAGCTCTGAAAGCGAGGGAAGCTAGCACAGCTGAGAATGTCCGGAAACTATGCCATCTTCTGCACACAAAAAACCGAAAGAGGCGACTGTCATTAAAGTTACCAAGGCAACTATTGGACAATAGATATACAAGAAAAATAAGCTCCTTGATTGTTGGGCTGACTACTTTCGAAAACAGTTTTGTTGGACGGAATTCGACTTTAAGGTGGATCTACTGCAGACCACGTAAGTCCATTTTGAGTTACGTCTTACTCCTGCCTTTTTGT